CTTAGTGATATCTCCGGGCAATGGGATCTTTTTGGGTGTTGAATTCAAATCCAAACAAGAACACAAATTCAATTAAATGGGGGTTTAATACTCTAGAAAACCTTTGAGTTGTTTACAAAATCACACACGAATACAAAAAAACAACAGTATGATAAAAAATGTTACCTTTTCTTTATAATGCACGATTTACTCAATCTCTTTGCGCATATGAACACCTTGGGAATTCCCTTTGTTTCGCTTACTAACTTAACAGCAATTATTATTCACATTACCCAATGACACTGTTCAATTTAACAATCAATCCAAATAACTTTAATACAAAATATGCACAATTCGTAACACCATCTATAACAATTTCTCTGTTGACGCAACATAAATTAAATATTGATCTATTGTCAATTCTTTAGGAACAAATGCTTTAAAATGGCAGGAATCTCTGAATAATACATAGATTTTTTTTTGTAATAATCAGTATAGTCTCTAATTGTATAGAAACAGTTATGCAGCAGAAAATACTTTACTTTCAACTTAAATTTGTGAACCGACTTCAATTATTTAATGTCATCTGACAGTGCACCGTAAAGTAACGTACATGTATGTGGATTTCTGATAGTGAGCTGTCGATATTGACACTTGATGAACATGATTTTTATGATGTTTGTTGTAATTATAAATAACAGTATTGCATGAAAATATGTTCCCACCATTAAGTAAGTCAATTTGAAAAATATTACAGATTTGTAAATATATAGGCAAGACAGTGATACGATTCCAATCTCAGTGAAGAGAGGCTTGCAAGGGTAATGCAGATGACATTTTTTCATTATTCGAATAATTTTCTTTTGCAGTCTAAAGGTCTGAGTACTACACGAGTTTCCTCAGAATTTTATTCCATATCTAAGGAATGTACAATTGCAAAATACATGCAACTAGCTGCATGAAGGCTGACAGAATTTGATAAATTCTGAATGCGTAACATAATGAGCATAATTTAGTGTTTAATTTCATTATACGTAACTTCAATTTGAGGTTTGACTGAAATTGACAGACCTAGAAATTTTGTTACCTGAACATCACCTAATGGCATATTATTCATTTTCAATGGAGTATGCGATTGCTGATTTGAAAGGCAAAAATGTATTAACTAATGAAGGAAAATTTGTTTATTTATTTATTGTCAAAAACAGTTAAAAACTGGACATGGCATGCTATGGACTGAAGTGTATTTTGAGCATGTTTTCTTAATCCTGGGATCCCTCTCCTAACCAATATGCAAGTTGAATTCTGAGTACAGAAGGAAACGAGGGTTTTTGGGAAGAATTGTATGAAAATATTCACTCTGGTGTAATAAAAAAGATTGGTAAAGGCAAATCAGCTTTTAGGGCTATTATCCCTCATTGGGATCGTCTTGAAGGAATCAACTTCCTACCAAGACAACTCTGAGAATGATAATGTAAAGAACTATATTTCCAACTGAAATCTACAAGACCTGCACAGATAGTGAAGTTACATATAAGTCCAGAAGCAAAACACGGAGCTATCCAGGCATTTGCTTAAAGGATCAAGGAAACTGGACAAAAAACCTGATTGAGATGGGGGTCATTGACCCAGAAGCTGAGGTACAAAACATGCTACATGTTTAGAATTATACAGTCCAAATAGTTCCCCAAGTAATGAAGGACTTCACACAGCTGTTAACCATGTGCCCCCTTGCTGGTACCATTTTGGCCTGTAATTCATGTCAATAAACATTTTACTGTGGAAGATAATTTTTATTTTACTCATTTCTTTTTGATGTATGTAAATTTGTTCCCTTATCTTCTAATTATACATAAAAATCTTATGCAGATAACATTACAATTACTAGCAATGATAAACATTTAATAATACCCGAAAAAATTACAAAATCAATTAAATGATGCTTTCCCACCAAATATGAATGAATTCATTTTAAATTTACAGGAAACAAATTGGATGCTTTACAATGTTCATTCTAACAGTAAAAATCTATTCACATTCACATTGAAATAAAAATGAAACCGTAAAACAAATTGAATGTCTTAATTTGTAGGATAGTCCTGATCCATTTATCCTGATACAAATTTAACTTTTATTAAATATGTTGATGAAATAGTAAGTAATAACAGAAAAATGCTGAAAAAATATTGATTTTTTGAAAAGTTAGGGATTTTAAGAAAAATGAGACCCATGCTACTTTTTAAGTGTTCTTCACACACAAATCATAAAATTTGGAGCCATTTTTGAGAAAATTTTGAAAATGGCTTATGTAAAGTACCCTCACTCCACCCTTAAATCAAAACATCTGTTTAAAACTAACAGGGTATCAAGAAAGTTCAGATTGGTCACAGAATATCAATTTTAGAGAAAAATCATCTGAATGACTTCCGTGTCTGCAGCGTTAACCTCTGACACTTTGCTATCAATTGATTTTTTGGTACCATCAACCCACTTAACATTGATTGTAACTACAAAATATTGGAAGAAAAAATTTACTATTAATATAGGAACAAGATTTATCCACTTTCTCATTACCAGGGCTCAGCAAGAGAATTTCTGTCAAAAAATCAACATTTTTTTCTTGTTGCTTTACTACACTTCCTCCGTACTGCACAAGCAGTACATGAAAGACTTAACATTCCCAATTTAAAAAAAGGTTATGAGGGAAAAAAGAAAAGAAAATAAGAAAGAAAAGCTGGAAAAAAGTGGTACACTCATATTAAAAAAACCTGCAATTAAGAGGGAATTTTTTTAGTACAATATTTCTTTTGTCTTTCTCAAAATTTCTTATAACCTGCAAATGTTTAAAACTATGCAATTTTTAAGAGAATAAAATAAAAATCGAAGATGAAGGTGAAATAAAGGACAAGGAGAAGAAAAAGGAGAAACTTTGTTGATGTACGAGTTGGACATAATGGGTTAAACGAAGTTGTTTATGCCAATCAAATGTATGTTAGTTTCTGGTAAATGTTTCAAGCCTTCTGTGATTCAGAATCTGTCAAAACGAACTATTCCTACTATTCACATCATACCTTATCCAACTCTTTTATGACTTGTATTAGAAACCTAATTACTATTTTTTTTTTATTATTTTAATTACAACTCTAATGAATTATATTAAGCACACACTGCATGAAAATATCATCCATAGCCTACCTGAAGGTGCATCCATATCATCAATTATCTGACCAGTAATACGGATACGTCGATGAGCCATTACAACCAAACGCAACTTATCTCCCAAATCCTGCATCTCATGAATTTGAGCAAATGTTCCAACAGAATAAACATCTTTTAAATTATTAACAACATCTGCTTCATGTCTGCAATAATAATTTGTTTTGTAATTTCGTCATTGAAAATTAAACAGGACATTTTAACAAATCAAATTAACTCACTCATCACTCTTCTTCAAAAACAAGCCCGCATAGGGCTGATTAAGTTTTACCTTCCTTCGTATAAGGTCTATTAGAACAGGATTAGTTATCTGAAACAGATGAAAAAAAATATTTGCAGGTATCGCTCTAGTCTCTTTCACAAAAATATGGTAGAATTACATACTTCAACCAATTTGATGAATCTTGGAAATACTGGATTTCTGCTAATTGCAATTAAAGGCAATTGAGGCCACACTTCAGGGACAGCTACTGTTGCAGGGAGGCTGTGGTGCGACGGGTACTCTTCTCCACCTTTATGTGACGATTCCTGCTTGGGTTTTCTTGGTTCTTCGCCATCTGATCCATCAGACCGTTGACTACAGAACCTCACCGATACACTTACTGAACGATTATACAAACTATTCCTCCCAAAAGAACGTCTAGTGTCAACCGATTCTAAAATTTTAGTCGAAAAACCTTTATCACTGCAATGTACAGCATTAGAAAGTAATCGAATGTTATGTTTTATACCACATAAACGCGAATAGCGAAAATACGTAGCACGGCAGGCTATATTAGTTATCATCATATTAATTTTTTATAAAGGTTGTTACTAGCTCTTTCAATCAAGCAATCGCAATTATAACGTGAGAGCAGTTAACATTATGAGAAGTAAGGTTAAGTTGCCCACTAGCGTCAAAACAAACTGGCGCTACAATTTGCTCATTTGTTGTTTTGTAAATGCTTCAGGTTCCAAATTAATGTAAATTCGTGCTACATACAGTACAATTGCTCACAAATTTTCCTGATTAATTACGGCTACGTTGGATTTCTAACCACAAGCCGGTGTGATCACAATTTGACTGACGAAATCGCACTTTGTACTTTCAGTTTCAGTGCGAAACACTCAGGAATTCCTTTGCAAACCACGAATTGACGGCAACAAAATCTGCAAAACAGATATTGCTATTCTACAAGTCGCAGGAGTTTACCGAACATCAGTGGCGCCCCGTCATGCTAATAACTAATTTTCTTTAACAGCATTCAACTGTCTTGCTATCGAGATAATAGACGTATTATCTCGGATGATTTCGTTTAAATTCAATGACGCATGTAAATGCATCATAATAATAATAACAACAAAAAAAATATACTAACATTATTTAGAAGAATAGGGAGAAATACGCAAGTATTCAATTAAGAAAGCAAACCAGGTCAGGCTCTGTTGAATTCTGGGATTAGGATTTCAGGATGGCAGTAAATAAATACATGTGACAAGATACTCAATAAAACTACTAATTTATTAAATGAAAGCTTTCTAACGACACTTCATATAGTAATATCACTGTAGAAGAAAGACAATTCCACAACTCTTTACAATGTCATGACCCAAAATTTATATTTATATGGGTAGATTCTTTAACATCAAAAATTCCTGTTTAATTTTGAGAATGCAAATCATTCAAATCAATCCATGATTGATTCATTTTTATCTCATAAAATACAAATGGAATGACATTGACAGACATAATTGATATCAAACAGATGAAATGGGAATGAACAGCAATACCATTAACAGTATGAATGTATTGGAACATTAATACATATTAAGACAACCTGTTCTAACAAGTGTCTCACAAGAGGGTCTGGTAGAATTTTTTTCTCTGTATATATATATAAATAAAACACTGTTTATTCCATAAATAGAAGACATTGTACAAGACATACATATAATCACTGGCAATTACAAAATGTAATTACTTTCCAGCACCTATGTAGGTAGGTAGTTTGTAGGTATGTGGGTAGGCACACCTTGCACTCCTCCTTCAAATGCCATAACATTATACATGTTAAAACTTATAAATGGTAAATTAAAATATTTATATCCCAATGTACTGTCATATAACAGTTGATGTTCATGTAATTTTATCCCCAAAAATGCAGTAATGGAAGGGGGTACTTCGCATTTAGTATTTCTACAGAAATTTGATACAGGATTCTCCTTCACAAGGTAAGAAAGAAAAATTGCACTCAATTTTTGTAAGAAATTAAACCTTCATACTTAACTGCTATATCTCTTTAAATCATAATATATATATATTTTTTTTACATACAAAATATTGCATTATACAATTGTAACTGTATATTATATTTCTAATACAAATCAAAATGCTAACTTCATTATTATTTTTAATATAGTTTTTCAGACAAATGCTGATAAATTGTTTACGTGGTTTAAAATGTTCACTTAAAAAATGAAATTAATGCATGTCCAAACTTACGTAACTATTAAGTTAATTATTGTATTCTCTTTGCTTACATAAGTAAAAGAAATTTAGAAGCATTGTAGAAAATTTCAGTTTTGTTCCTTAAAGTTGTGAAAGAAATGTGTTTAATTTTGTAAGATTGAATATTCATCTGGCAGTGAAAAGCCATTCTTTAATTTTCAGAGCAAAACCAAAATATGTGAAATTTTTCAAGCACAAAAAATATAATCCTAAAAAAAATGTAAAGAGCAATGAATCATGGCTTTTCAGTCTTCAATGTAACTTTTTTTTAACGGAAGAGAATCTGTAATGGAAAAATGGAAAGGAAAACAGAAGGCACTGAAGAGCAAGCAACAACCGTCAGTTCATTATAAACAAATTGTACATTTACAATGAATTAGTTCAGAAGTATGCCATAAAAGCATGTAAACAACAGGATTCCTTTACAGGAATAATTTCAATAATGAAGTCATTTCCTTTTCAACTGTTATAAGGCAGACCTACTATACAAAATGGACGCCAAGCAATTTTACAGTTTATAACCATTATTTTCTTGCAATACAACTGCAATAGACTTCATGATACGTACAAAATTCTAATCTATATGCAAAATGATGGATTCTTTTCTTCTCCATCTCATACTGTGAACTTTGATATTAACACACCGCATTCAGAAAGAGAAATTTAACCCTCATTATACACAACAATATAATATATATATATATTTATATATAAAAAAGACTAAAGCCTTCTTCAATAAAGAAAAGGAGTAACAGGAAATGAGTATTTCAAACTCCACACCCATGCAAATATTTTGGTGTATAACTTATGCAACTTACTGTTTCAACTACGTTTTCAGTCTTTTCCATTGTGTTGCATTTGTACTTAACACAGACTTGGAAAATGATCAATTGTCCATGTTCACTCTTTATATTACACCAAGATAACCTTGTAAACCACATTCTATGAGGGCTCATTGTCAAGGCATGAAATAGGATTTCACAAATTTGGAGACAAAAACTGATTGAGAATTCATTGGCGTCTTGTTTGAGAGCCAATTAGCAAATCACAAGTCACTTTTTAACTTCCATTTTTACATAAAACTTTTGAAAACACAATGATCCATTTATAAACTATCAATTACTGCTTTATGTACAAAAGGGACTAAAAAACCCACTTGACTGGAGTTTTCTTATTTTTTGTCACAACTGCAGTCTTGAAGCAAAAAAGCTCTTCGAATATTGAAATAAAAAGGAAATGTCAAAGAAAAAGTATGGGTCACAAGAGCAAATATTACAATGATCAATCAAATGCTTCAAAAAGTGTGATTCAGCACAAGCTGTTTCTGAACACAATGCTCCTAGAATAATCAGCTCATTCAATGACACCACTGTACATAAAATACTTTCAAAATTCATGTTCTTCAGAATATTTGTTCTCCTAGAGTCATAGTAACAAGAACAGTAATTCTTCAGATCACACTATGAACCAATGGAGAATTACCTCTCTCTCTGTCACACACACACACCAAACATACATACACACAACTAAGAAACATACATACATACATACAAACATATACAAAAGAAACAAGATACGCATTTTGTATTTAGCTCAGCTAATGCTAAAATCTCTTTGAGAATGCAGCAATGGTAGCTGCCACAATACAATAACTCCTATTTTAACATTATACAGTTCATAATATTGTATTAAATTCATTTGAGTCTTACAAATGGACCAATCAGCAAAACAATGCATTACACGAACACATATGAGATTACCAGCTCTCTTTACAGTCCATTTCACAACAATGAAGTATTTCAAAGAATACCATTGGTGAGATACTGGAAGCCATCATACAGCTTGGTGCTTAGAGAATGGATGCTGGATTCCACCAAGTTGTCAACAAGTTGCTGAAGCTGCTCTTCAGTCAAGTTGAGGTGAAATCTGTTCTTAAGAGCTTGAAGAGTTGCTGCTCCCGATTTAAAACATGGCAGTTGAGACCCTATAAACCAAACATTTCTTGCTAAAAACTTATTACTTGCAAGTCCAAGGAAAGTAGATCAGGAAACGAAGGACAGGAGGAATACTGTACCACAGGACAGGGAAGGAGAAGTTAGGACAGTCTTCGACTGAGAGACACTGACATGGTGGAAGCATGCACCTGTGAAACATTCCTTTGTAACTAGATATGCACCTAAAGAATGATACAACACATCAATCTGGAAAAGATACAAGGGAAAGGCAGAGGTTAAGGCCAGAACTAATATCTAAGATAGAAACTACAATGAAGATGTTTATTTCTGTGAATGTGCCTGAAGGATCATTCAGTACATACAAAATCAAAATAATATCAACATCAACAACAAAAATGTACCTGATCTCATTATCTCCACAAGGCTTAGAATTTTGTCCATATGTTTTCTTGCAGCAACAAGACCTTGTAAAATGAGAATTTTGAAGTACTTAAACATGTCAGAATCCAATCCTCCCATTACCTCCACAAATTCTGGAGTGAGTTTGAATGGAGAAGTTTCAAACCCCAGATTGCGTGGTGATGTGGACAATATGAATCCAAAGTCTATGTGAATGAGATGACCTTCGTTGTTTAGTAAAATATTACCATTATGTCTGCAAATAAAACAATGGGTAAGATTAATAAATATAATTCTCTGGAAAACTACATCAATTCTCCCGTTCTAATTCTCTAAAAAACTGAAAAAGAAGTTCAAATACATTCCTAAATATGTTGAGATGCTACATAGAGCAAACTCACTAAAATCTATTACTAAATAATTTCAGAATACATGCAAATGGTTTCATGTTCTCAAATAAAACTAAAATATGATAAGATCTGCAGGGAAATGCCCTTTTAGGCTTAGTTCTTTGATTCACTTCTAATAGCTGAAATGCAATGCTGAGTGTTCAGTTATATTTAACAAGGGATTCCAGAATAAAGAAATGAAATTGCAATGTTCAATAGCTCTTGAAGGCTGGAAGTGATAATGAAAATAGAATGTATTTTTTATAATTTATGTTTGTTTGAGAAACACAATAGAACATTTTTCTCTTATGGTAACTATTCACATATAAATTCAAGAGAGTCTAACTCGTTACATTAATTAACTCAGGTTTCCCTTTCACTTAATTTCATCATTACTGAAAACATCGGTTTTAGGTAAAATAAACGCCTGAAATTACAGGCTATAATTATTATCATGCAAATCCCCATCATCTCATAAAATTGTTCAATAACTCAATGGTGTTTACTCACACTTAACTCTGAAGTATTTAAGAACCATCCATAATTTCAGGTTTTATTATTTACACAAAAACATTTGTGGATTTGCAATGTACGGAAATTATCCATAACAAATTTCACTTTTCATGTGAGCAAGATTATTTTCAAATGCTCACATCACTTTAACTTAGATGTATCCAAATAGCTAATTACATTCAACATTAATTATGTGGGAAATTACCTGTCTTTCACTTGAACTAAGTAACAAATCAAACAATAAGCAGCACAACTTTGCACAAAATTCCTCTGTGCAGTCAAAAATGCTTCAGAATTATGAGAACCATACTCCCTAGCAAAGTACTGCAATAATGACAGCTGGCAATGTTTTTTGATTTGATGCAAAGAAACTGTGTTGAGAATAGGTTCTATCAAACCACTATCATTGGACAGACACAATATCCTGAAAGAAAATTAAGCACTTTTTCTTAAATTATGTAAGATACACTGCTAAATAAAAATGCATAAAACAGGACATTGTCTCATGAAAATTAAACTAATTTAAAATTCTCACCGATAAGGTCGAACCCACAAAGGGACATGCTCCATTTCCCAAATCCGCTGAAGCATGGTCAACAGTTGTGATGCTAGTAATTCCTGTCGCAAGTCATCTCCACACTTGACAATCACTGAAAGCAATCTCCATGAAGCCAAGTGGCCATATGGAGAGGCTTCACGAACTCGTCGCTCCTTTTCACCCCATGGCTCTTTCAGGGCAGCAGCTGAAGGGTCCTCAGGATCATGATTGAAGGTAGCACGTCGGGAGTCATGGAGTGATTCGGATAATCGTCGGCGGATATCCCCAGCAATAAACACAGGTGGTTCTCGAGAATCACTTGATTCTTGGCTGAGCTGAGATATAGTATCACGGTCCATTGGCTTACGTAACTGCATATACTGCAAAGTTGTGATCAGCATTTCTGAATCATACTGGCAAGAGACAATTGGCTCATTTGACAAGAAACAAGTAATAAAACTTTATTTAAAAGTATCATTTCATGGGCTCACCTGCTGAGAGATCTCATCATCTTCCTGTGACCAACAGTCTCCTGTTTCTTCATCTGGATTGCCATACACACTGAAGGCACACAAAGAAGTACTCTCTGCTTGCACTTGTCCTTCTCCAGCCAAGTTTTCTTCAGATTTTGTGTGGCGAAGTGAATTCATAATTTTGGTAGGGACAGGAGAGGTATGAATATCCTCAACTTCCAGCACTTCAACATAAATTATGTATGGGGCCTAAGAAAAAAAAATTCTCAATGAACAATGCAATATATTGAATCACTTTACGTGTCCCATAAAATGGTAGTTCAAATTACAGTGAATTTATACTACACAGAGACATGCACTATCATGAAAATACTCACTTTATCTTTGGAATTGAGAACAGCAGAAGTCTGAGGAGGAATCCTCACAATGTGGTGGGGCACACTACTATGAATAGGAAGCCACACACGAGCTGGAAGGTTTAGATTTAGTGTACTCAATTCTGCAAGAAGACGTGTTGTTTTAGCCTCCTTTGTAGGAATGGTACTAAGCAGTTTTCCAATGGATATGAGAGCTCTGATAAATTCCAATTCAGGAGCTAAACGTGGGGCCTATAACCAAAAGAATGCAAGAAATTAAAATTCTTGTATTTCTGAATGTCAAAATTATATTCAAATAGCATAATACATGTACGCAAAACATTAAAGGAAAAGAGTTGAAAATACTACAAAACCTATTTAAACACAACACAACGGTTTTGGATTGTTTTCTATTATGTCGGTTTCAGTTTAATACAGAATCACTGTTTTAAGGAACTATAACTTATGTTTATCAATTACTACTTTTTCCCATCAAAAAACTTAAAGCTTTAAAGAATAATGAATGCACATAATAAAGAGCTTTATTCAACTTACTACACACTTGACAACTGCTGGGAATTTTGTAAAATGATAGTAACAACGGCACGGTATAAAAGTTGCGGTAAACACACGTGCACACACCAGCATGTTCCTCGTAATATTAGCAATAAATAATTCCGCTGCTGGACCAATTCCTTCACTGTCCCGCACCCACCTATACGCCTCAGAATACACACACAGGATACACAATCTTAATTTGATTTTTATTTTACATATTGCATTCTTGATGTACTGATGTATTGTGTTTCAAGCAATCAACAACCCCTAACTGAAATTAGCGCAATTAGGTTTTCTCTCTTAAAAATAAGATTTAAATGTAATATGAAAGAAAAATTGAAAAAAAAACAATGCCGTAATTTTGTATAAAATTTTATTACATTGATTTTATATTACCTCCATACATTCCATTGGGAAACAATGAAGAAATGAATATTTGAGAAGTTCATTGTTGAACGATGACATGATAGGAAAGATAAGATAAGTCTTTATTTACTCAACATTAGTGTTAACATATGTTCTCTATGTTCAATATAATGATATATTCAACTTTATTAAAGTCTGAAAAAATATAAGTATGCCTTAAGGTAATATATCACAGTTTTGAATGCATTCAGCCTCATCCTCATCAACATCATCAACCACCACTTTAGTGGTGTGCCTCTATCTCTGATCCCTATTGGTTTGAACTTCCAGGTTAATTATGGATATCTGTTGTTGTTGTTCATTCTCTGTAAATGATCTTTCCATCTCCTTTGAAACTGATCTATCTCTTCTTCAAAAACATTTTGGTTTTCAATATCTTCTGATGTTTTATTTCTAAGTGTGTCTCATATTGTGATTTCCATCAGGTGTCTTAGAAATCTCATATGTGTTGCGTGTAGTTTTTTTTTTCTTTTTCGTTACCTATGTTTCAGAGCCATACACAATCTCAGTTTTAGTAGCTATATTGTAGAGATTCAGTTTTGTTTCTGGTCCATGTTCTGCCAATGTGTTCTTAATGGTTTACACATATTCTATTGTAGTTATTAAGTTTGTTTCCTATGTCTTCTGAGTTTGGTTGTGGTAACTTACGTATTCCAAGCTATGAAAATTTATTTACTTGTTCCACTAATTTTCCATTTTATTATTGCCTCCTTGTCTGCGTTGTATTCTACAGCTGTGAATTTTTGCCATCATCAAAGAATATTCTTGGGCCACTTTTGTCGATTAAAAAACTGCACTTTGTAAATTATCTTCAGAATCTATTACAATAGTTTGGTTATCAGCATAGAAGAAGGTATCTATTTTCTTGCCTCTTTTGTGATATGAATGCGATATATTCGATTGCCTTTAGTTCTGGATGTTCAATTTGTATGTGAAATTATTTCTGCTTGCCTATATGATGTGCTGGAAATAATGTGAGCAGTTACAAATAATGCGAGAAAGTACTTGCTGTTGGAGCATCACGAGTTTCATTTTAAAGTAGTATGCTACTGTTAGTGTTACTTGATTTTTTATATTTAAATCTGATTGTATGTTAATATTATGACAGATACAGTGAATGAACTATTATGCAGACTGTTTTCTCACCTTAACAACGTAGAACAGAGACAAATTTTGGACAATGGTCAATTTACTCCTTTATGTTGAATATGGTTATACATCGTGGTGGCAAGAAAAATGCAAAAAATTCAATCCTGAGTGGCATGATTCACACACATGGCTATCTTGTAGAGAAGTTAAAGCAAAGCTTTATTGTGGACCCTGTCTTTTATCATTAATTAAGGAGAGTTCTTGAAACAGAGATGGATATTTTGACGTGAACAAATTACCAAAAGCTATTCAAAACATGAAATGTAGGTGGTCTTGTGGTGATGGGTAATAATGCTACTGCCGAATCCGCTGCTGTTCATTAATCAGTTTTGTCTACCCCGAACATTTGTTCATGAGCTGCCACTGACTCAGAAGCAGAGATTTCCATAATTTTTTTTGTAATTATTCAATTTTGCTGCAGAGATTATTAGCGTCATTTATGAATAGCAAGTGCTCCACAATTCTAACGTTCGGCAAATGGACTAAGGTTCTGACGTGGTCACAGGGCTGCATGCGCTTGTCGAAGTTTGTATCCCAATTACATCAATTCTCAAATTTTCGTTTTTTGTCCTTTGTCCAAAAAAGAAAATTTTTTCTTTGACAATACTTACAACTGCAGGGCATTTTTTAAAACCAAATAAATGAAACATATTCCAATTTAGCACACAAAAGATTATTGGAGGGTATCAAATTTGAAACATCATTAAGTCTCTTGGAAATTTGAATCATATATTCAAGATTTTGAATGCATCATTTGTGGTATTAAATATGTGATGATGGTAAGTCATTTTATGATAATTGTCACCTAAGTCTTTTACAAGATATATATGTTCTAGAGATTCATTATTCATTGAGTAATTGATCCTTAGATAAAATTTGTTTCTTGTATAAGTAATGAAACATTTTTAAAATGTGATAAGTTTTCAAGGGTTTCAAGGGTCGTAAGGATTCAAAAAACATTTGAACAAAATTCCCTAAAAGTTCAATTTTTTTCTCCATAAGTAGTTCTATTCTCTTTCATATTTCAAAAGCCTTATTTTGATCAAGATATTTGAGACATGCAATTTTTTTAATGTGAAAAATGTAGTAAGTGTGTAATGTTTAATCAAACACCTAAAAAAAGAAAAGGAACATTGATTAAAGAGAAGAAAAGTAAACTACCACGTTAATTGAAACGTTCTTTAAATATTTTGTCAAAAGTTTGGAAATATAACCGAAAACGTACATTTTGTGTCTTTGTGTGCTTATGAAATGGCAAATGATAAAGGCTAGAAATCTGTTACCATGGCAAGAAGTTTAGATAAACGTGTTTATTTTCCTAAGATCTTTTATGAAGAAATCATAAGAATACAAGTAATTTTTTTACCAAAATAAGATATGTACATTTTTGGCATCATCAGCTCAATATCTTTGTCTGGTAAAAAGTGTTTAATTAAAAGCCTAAATTCTCAAAAGCACCTAGCAGTAGACAACAAATCTTCAAATCCACATGCGTTCTTAACAGTACAAGTTAACTTGAACTCTTAACACCAAATGTATTTAATGAAATTGTGTGCGTTCAGAAGAGTACAAGTTGGCAACTCCACCCAAACATCCATTTAAAAATGTGGCTTGCAGTGCCATTTACTGTGCCCCATGAAATTAGTCAAAAGTTAAATTCCTTGGATCCATGACGGGTGAGAACATTGTCCATCTACAGCACTTGCCCTGCCAAAGTCAATACCCCCAAAATAGGTGAAGTTTAGGTTAAGAATTTTTGCTGGTAAATTCAAAAATTCGAAGTTGTCCCAAAGTATTTCACTGCATTATGCACATTACAGCAGGCATGGTTCCCTCTCCACCTACAGTTTTAGAGCAGCTGGGCAAAAGGCTGAGATTAACAATTCGGGAAACTCAGGTCAGGATTGCCCTATTAATGAAAACATGACCCCCCAACCATATTAAATGTTTTAGTTGGGCACTTGAGGCTTTGCAAGTTGGGCACCCTTGCATTAACATATTCTCATGGTCGAAAGTGTGCTTTATATTGCATTGGTGATATGGTACATTGACACAGTATTCTTACCATTTATTATTAATTGTTATTAGGGAACCCATTTGAAAGTCCAATATTGCACTACATACTGGTTTCTCTATTGCAAAAAATACTACGTACCATTTGCAAAGAGAATTTCAATTCACCAAGGGCATATAGTTTTCCTATAGTAGGAAGAAAATATGGCTTAAAATTGAACCCTCCAGGACTATGTGCAATTGGCATTTAATTGGGAAGGTAAGTAAATAATGTCTCTTCATTCTAGTATAGTAATTCTTCTCTCCAAGATTGTTATTGATGGTATGAACACAATCAATCCTGATCAATCCCATGAATTTCATATTGTGGTAATTTTGAAAGTACAATATTATGATCAATGATGTTGAATGCTTTAAAAACATGTTTAGATCTTTAAAAGTTCATGAACCCAGGCCCAAATTTTTGGAAGACATTTTTTATTGAATAGAGGAAAATACTCTTACAAACATGGCACAAGGCCTTTTTATGGTGCATTATTTGCATCTTCAAAAATTAACAGTTTTTACTTAATGAAATCTGTTCTTAAATTAATACCTTAAATAAAGTCACATACAAGTTTTTGAAAATATGACTAGTTCCATGTAATTTGTGCAATTTCCAAAATTGCAAAGTCAAATGTCCTGTTCGCAGTATGACAATGCCAAAGCCACGAATCAGCTGCAGTGAAATTTGTCTAAAATGGAACCTGTACAAGCCAAAAACCTGCCTGAATTGGAAAATTTCTCCACCCTGAGAGGTTAAATGGCATTTTACAATATAAAATGGAATGTGTCGAAAGCGGAAACAGTACAGTTTCTTATGTCCTGCAGGGGGGTAAACACTTTCATAAAACAGAATTTCTATGAATTTAATGCAATTGGTAGAGAGACGCAAGATATTCTTTGTGAAATGAATGCATCTGCAAGTCTGTTTTAATTTCTGTGTCCAAATGATACGAGTTTCAGTTGTGGCAGCCACTTAACGACGATGAGTTGCTTCAATTATCAGCATAGAATTCGACCTTGGGGATGCTTGTCCCTCAAGGCTTACGCTCTAGTGGAATCCCCTCTTTCCCAGCCTATGAGCATGGGAAGGTGCATGAGCATGGCTTGTATTCACATCTACCGCCCCTACATTGACAAACGTTACTCCTCAGCCAGAGCCGAACTAATCAAGGCGATGCGAGGGTATTCGAAAGACAGTACTCTGGTTTGTGATGCATTGTGCATAGAGAGAGTCAACAATCATCCGGGTGCAGCCACTAAGCAGTGAGGTGGTGTGTTTTTATGAGTTTCACTACCAGTTGAACATTGGTTGAGAAAAACCATACCACCTTTAAAATTAACATTTTTCAACTTCAGAAAACGTAATTGAAAAGGTTTTAGTAAGCGGGAAAACCAAAAAGCAAATAACTGTCCAAGAAGTTTGGGGGAAAAAAAAAAAAAAAATTATTTTAGTGCCCAAGTTGTGAGTTTTTTGTTTTAATTATCAGAAATTCATTCAATATGCATTTATTTCTCCCATAAATATGTTATATGTTACTATATTTTTATAATTATAATAAAGTCATGTAATTTACTAGTTTCAGAACGGAAATATCAATAAAACAAGTGTCATAAAATGGACAACCCTGCATACATAAAACGGAAACTTCCTTAAATCGGAATAATTTTTTTGTCCCGATCAATTCAGGTTTAGATAGATTTTACTGTATTTGAAATCCAAGCTATGCATTCATCCTTGCCAGCTGGGTATAGCTAGCAAAACAATGTGCCTTCCACTAAGAAAACAGATTGAAAATCGAATGTGCTGTGAAAAAATATATCCCAGTTCCTTGATTAATATTCAAGCAAGTCTTAAACATCTCCAAATGAGCAAAAAATCAAATTTAATTTCGACGACCTTGCCTTTCAGACATGACACCATACAGCACAACACAAAATTCAAGAAACCAACACGGAAAATACAGAGAGATTGGAATTGCAGACCCATGGACTAGTTTCCTATCAATGGGAAATGCAAACTTGCCCTTCTTGCCTCACTTACAATCTTCTTCAACAATACGAACATACAACATGCAAAGTCCATCATTCCTACACCATCAACCATGTTCATCACTCTTATTTCGGCAACCTCCTCAAACCTATCCTTCCATGGTGGTATCCGCACCACAATAAGAGCAACACATACATTTTGATTGTCAAAAAACACAATTGGTCAAGGGTACAAACAAGAGAAATGTAGGTTTAATAAACTGTTAAACTTTTGACGAACAGTAATTGCACTGGTGAAATTAGCTGAGATCATTAACTACATAACTGCTGGCAAACTTTATAGTGCACACCATTAGATTATTTTCATGACTAGTTTAATCTGCCATAAAACTCATATATAACTGATCTACCTGAGAAAGCAGAAGTAAAGTTGATTAATCATCTTACTACAGCTCAAACAGAATGGACGCTAAATAAATGAAATTTGTTAAAAAGAGACAAACATCAGCTACACAAAAATTAATTGAAAGTGAACTTAGGAAATCAATGAACATTTTTACAATGCATAATTTTTTCCGGAATGAAGTTAATGTTTTAAAATAATCATCTTAGATCAATCTTGACCAACTGTAACTAGTAACACAAAAGATAATAAGATTATATAAAACTCACATTGCAAGTACAGTCAGTTCTTTTCCCTTTCAAATCATTGACAACACCTTGGCAGGAATCAAAACATGCACAGCCATTATCAAATGCTCGTCCTGAGCTCAAATCTCCCAAGCAAATTTTATTGCTAGAACCTGAAACAATGAAGTGAGAATGTCCACTGAAAAAATCTTACTAAATTCCATTTCATTTCTATTTCAGAACAAGATCGTTTAATCTCTCACCTGTAGATAACATTCTTCTATGACCCTGATACAAACCGGAAGCATCGGAACGTGAACGTTGATGAGTCTTTTTACTGGGAGAAAGTGGGCCAGAGGGAAGAGGTGGGGGGGTAGGAATCTGGGGTGGTGGAGGTGGTGGGGGTGGTGGAGGTGGTGGAGGCGGGGATGGTGGAGCAATAGAAACAATGGAACTAGCACCGATTTCTTTCAGTTTTGAGGCATCTGGAGGGGAACCTATAGTGCTATTTCGCAGGCGGCGGGTAATATCTACTTCCTTCGGTCGAAGCTCATCAGATAAGATTAAGTTCTTTAACTTTGTGCCATGTGACTTCTTTTTAGAAGGAAGATGTGCATCTGAACTATAGGAATCCAACAACCATGCACATTTAAGTGAAAAATCTGCTGACTTTCGGCATCTGAAAACATTTGAAAAGCCGAACATGAAGACAGTAAAGAATTTCAGATCACAAAAAAATATATATATTTTTTTTCAATTTTGAATCTAATAATTTTAACTCTTTAACAAACTATACAAACAAATTATTTCTCTAATTTTTACCTGTATATTAGATATGGATGGATCACTTCAGCCACATCATGCATTTGAATATACATGCTCACTAATTGAGGAAGATAAAAATCAACATCACTATCTGGAAAGCTGAAAATTTTATTCCCTGAAAATAGTAAGAGCAATAGTAGTAGTAGTACCAATACTAAAACTAATAGTAATAATAATAATAATAATAATAATAATAATAATAATAATATCAACAATAGGTGTTGCTATTGCTATTTACAACTTAACTGTTCATAAATTGCATTATCAAGCATTTACAAACTTACTACGAAGTAAATAAAATAAAGATGCATTCACATCAGGAAGATACATTTTGAAATACCATTTTTTTATAAATTGTCATGAAAACTAAATGAAAAGAGGAAGCACCTAAGAATTAAAACTTTAATAGCAACCAAAGAAGGTGATATGAATTTATCTTTGAATTATAATTGTAAACAAAATATCACCTACAAAACCAATAAGTAACAAACATTCATGTTAGTAATCTCAATGCTCACCTATATAGCTCTGCACACCTGGCTCCTTTGAATTGAAGAGATATGTGATAGCCATGGACATATCAAAATGTTTACTCTCAAACAGTCTCAAAAGAAAACCTTTTGCTCCTTTAACAGTAGATACAAAATTTTTTTCCAAATGCTTTGTTTCTAATGCAACACTTCCACCACAGCACAGTGAGGACGGGGCAGGTGATGAATGACATGTGGAAACACTGGACTCATCATCAGCACAACTTAGATTCACATCATGCACTGTGCAGCTGTTCCCCTCTTCCATAGAAGTAGCAGATGTCTGAGCTGACTCCTCCACTTCCATGGCTTCCCCCTGCCCCTTGGGCCTGATCTCCTCAGGTAGCTGGCGCACACTTGTTCCAGGCAACTGCTCCACACTTGACTCACGTGTTGCAGCATTTGCATCACTGCTGTGACCACTATCTGAGCCACACAAAATGCCTGAATCATCAGAACCCAGACTTGCGATTTCTTCTCGATCCAATGGTCCCTTGACTGCAGGAGTCCCAGGTGAAGGTGCTGTTCCACTGGCACAAGACTCCTCTTCACTAGCATCAGATCGGGGTAGTGCCAAGGTGCGTTCGCTGCTCTCACATTCTGGGCTGGGTGTCACGTCAACCTCAGGAATTCTCTGGAGCGCCGAATCCAGGCTGCGGTTACGATGATGCATAGTTAGAGTAGTTGCTGTGGTTACCTGTGAAACCGGAGGCAGCAGGATGCCCATGGATCTGCACAAAAGAACTTACATAAACACAAGTTCTTTTCCACACAACTTAAACACAAAAAGCATACATACATGACTACCACTTTAATGGTAGTTACAAATCCAGCAGCTTTTATTTAGAAGCATTTCAGTGCAGAGTAAAAAAAACTCAAGGCAAGTCATTTGTAAAGGGAAAAAAAAAATAAAATAAAATAATAATAATAAATAATAATAATAATAATAATAATAAATAATAAAAAAAGCAATCAGTGTGTACAAAAAGGCACAGTTTCAACATACAGTTAAACCTCATTTACATTATTTGCACAACAAAATTTCTTTGAGGCGATTCATTTCCATATTGCTCTAAAGTACATCATTATAACAGAAGCAAGGTTTTCAAGATTCTTATTTAAATGAACAGTACAGTTCACAACAATCAAATGCTTCCGAGAAACGTTTTCGTCTCTAGGCAAAACTGCACTTGCTGATGCAATTAAACTGAAAATCCTTAAACTACTGAAGCTGGTATTTTTCCAATTGAACCCGCCTCCACCAATTTTCTTTGAAATATTTCCCTTGTGGAGATCTTGCATTTAAAACATCAAGGAAACTGATTAAATTACATCCTATTGCAACTCAATTGATTGGGATTTGGGTTTTCAGAATTTGAATATTGATGTTGTGCCTTCTAAATTATTGGATTCATTTCTTATTCTAATATAACTTTTATTCAATCCTATCCCACAATGGAAGCTACTTTAGGAGCATATTATGGTTTAACGGAATATATTTGACAGTATCCATGAACTGGGACTTTATTTTGAGTTTATATCAAAAAGTTAAATAGCAGCAAGACTGACCTGTACATTTTTTTAAAATTTACAGGACGTTATTAAGAGGTGAATGAGGGTGAAATACATACTTAAAAGTCTTTAACAAGATTTACATTACTTCTGGAAATATTTCAAGGGCCTATGATTTACTTAGAGCTCATAAAAAAGATGTTCCTTCAATATCTGTTACCGTATATACTTGAATATAACCCGCCCGCGAATATTACCCGTACCCTAATTATCCGGAAAGGAATCTTGGGTAAAAAAAAAATCACTTTTATTGCAAAAATGTCTGTACTCGAAAGGCACACCGATTAACACTGGTCTGAAGTTTTTATAAAGCTGCGTCTCAGCACCCGCCTTCACAGTGTCATCATGTCAGGTATTTCGTGTCTTAATCGGGCGTGCTGCTTATGTTGCGACTGTATCACGCGGTGCTTGACATATACTGGCACGCCGAGAAGACAGGCCCTACACGCCACGTCATGAAAACCGAAGTATAACCCACACATATTTTGTCTATTCGCAAGTCCCACTATCATTTATGCAATTTTCTGAATTACATACTTACGGCTTTCAGTATCAATGGACAGTATTTCTCGTGAAATCTTAAATTTATCAGTTCCTCCTAATCCAGGGGTCTTGGTGGGCGAGGGGAACCGGCCTCTGAACCCCCAGTGCTTGGGTTCGATCCCGGAAGGGCGGAAAATCCACAGTAGCCATGCCATATTTGTGGCATGTAAAAGAACCCTGGCGGTATGCCTCGCAAAATTAAATTCCTCCGATAACATTCACCGTAACGAGATCTCACTTTCCCCCATACAGTTCCGATATAGTAACTGAGACCGACATCTGACGGAGAAAGTGAGAGTCAAATTTCAGACCCATTAGGGGACTGCCCGCGAGGCGCGCCTGTTCGATAAGGTCCCCAGAACCGTGTCGTAGGTACGCCTCTTAAGAAATCCGGGTCAAAAACTCAGGGAAGGCAACAAGAAACTATCCTGAATAATTCATCCCAAGAAAACCCTTAATGGGTCACATAACTTCCGTAGACGGAAGATATGACCAATGAAGAAGAAAATTTCCCATCCTATCATATCTGCTTTACTATTTAATCTTCCTAAAGTTGGTCGTTTGAACATCCCCCCACGAAATTAGATTCATGGTTGGGTGCATTCTTGTTCACATAGAATCAAAATTAACAAAGTTAAATATCATCAGGTAACTGGGTCAGGTCTCTTATCGTGGTTCTCTCAGTTTCTTTTACATTGACATTGTCTTGTGAAGATTAGAAGAATCAATTCTACAAACCCTTAATCTATTCTTGTACAAAAGATATGTTGATGGACTTCATTCTACAAGATACTGAAACGGCAAACTTTTAATTCCTATAACATAACTGTTCAGCTCATATTAGAGAGATCGGCCAATGGACTTCTTAATCATTTAGATAGTTCTATCGTACCAAATAATTTTCATATAGAAACAAATTGGTTTCAAGAGGAATGTGCCAATGGTCACATGCTAACATGTTTTCAACTCACCCTCTTCACCAAAAAGTTGGTGTGGTGTATAATTCAGTTGATACAGCAATTAATCTTTTTCATTCCAATTCTAATTTGAACATTGGAAGTTGTATCCTCACTGACAACTATCCTTTTTTTCTTTTTACTATTTTTATTCATAAGTATCTTAATACTTAGCCAATACATAAAAAATAAGTAATAAACAACTGTTAATCCGGCTTCAGAATTGGCTACTCTACCAGTCTACGTCACACAATCACCTTACCATTTTTTTCTTAGAATAAATAATTCTCTACATAAAATGTTTTCTAACAAAATTTGACATAAAAAATTAGGAATAAATTGCCACTTAAACTCTGGTTAGAAACTTCAAGGATAATAGTATATCTTTAACTGATAAAAAATGTAGTGTATTGCCTTATATTTTGTGATTATTCTGTCTCCTAAGTGCGACAAACAAAACGTGATCCCAAGCAAAGAATAAAAGAAACTCCATTTCTCGACATCACCTTGATTTTACAAATTCTTTTAATTTTGACAGCCCTACTATCTTGGATAATGAACCCATAAAATATTCAAGATAATCTCAGAAACACTACACATAAAAACACACAAGATAATAATACCATGATACAATAAAATCTTTTCACAAACATTTATGACAACAATCTTTCTAAAAATACCGCAAAAAACAAACATAACAACAACAATTTTTTTTCATTCGCATTTATAAATGAATTGGTGTACTTATTAAATTTATTCTTTCCACCTTCCAACGCCATGATTTTTTTTTTACTGTTTTTCATTGTTGTTTATTCAAAATGTTCTGTTTTATACATTGATCTGCTCTCTCTCTCTCTCTCTCGCACTGTCCATACTTGGCTCTCTGTCCTTAATGTGAGGAAGGTATGTTCTTATAATGGGAATTTTCCCTTTTTTTGTGTTTGGAGCTATCCTTTATGAAATAATTTTTTATGAAGTTCCACAATTTTTTATAAAAATAAGTGCCAAATTTAACACGTTTTGCTAAGTTCTCTCCTATCTATTTTATATTTTGTACATACTACTTATATATTTTTTCAGTAATACTTCATACGTTTTCATGAATTTCATTTCAGATTTCTGAATACCTTTCATTATTCATTTTATTCGATATTTTCAAAATTTGTTCTCATTTATTTTCAGATGTAAACATGTAAATTATATATTTTTGTATTCAGTTGAAGATGCACTTAAGCTACATGTGTTGATGTGTTGCTGCTACTGTGTTAAAAAAAATTGTGAAAACGTTGAGAAAACTAATGATGTTGTTAATGGTGATGATTATGTAATATTATAATATCACAATGTTTATCCTACAAACACTTCAAATATCACTTGGAAACTTCTAACTGAACAAACCATGAATGTTTTCAAACTGTAATTACCTTGGTATCCCAGAACCATGCCTTTACCTAACAATCTGCAAACCTAACATGAACTAATCACATCTGTAACTATTTGCAGAACATTATTCAGGCAAGCAAGGTTAATTTCATATTAGTTTGCCTTGACTACTTCAAAGAGTTCCCAAATTTTGAAACATTGTACCATAATGATGATCAAGCCTTTTTAAAATAAAATAATAATATTCTGAGATCACTACAAAATATCTCTGAAACCAAAATGCAGCTTACAAGTGCTTGTGGTATAATGGTCCACTTCAAAAGCAATGTAACCCTATTACAAGGACACAAAATGACTTATTTACAATTCTGAAGCAACAAACTCTACTGCTTGATTATGGCTGTTGTAATAATTTTAAAAAAAATATTCACAACGTTAGCAACAAGGAAAATTTCCGAGGTCCAAAATAGCTTGGACAGTTATATAAGTCTATCACAAGAAATAATATTTTGCTGTCATTGATACAGCTCTCAGAGGTCAAGAACCAACAATTGTTCAGTTTTGTCTCTTGTTCATTCAGCAATTATAAAGGTTCTATATGAAACCAAATTCATGATATCAACTTCACAATTACCCAGAAATAATAATCACAATTTTCAACTGAGGCCAAGATGTTTTTGTAAAAGAAGTCTTGCATCAGTGATGATCACAATATTATGCAAAATGTAACCAGAATTTCAAGCAATGTTCAAAGTTCCAGAAAAGTTGGGTCACCTTTTGATTGTTGCATATACTTGCATCTTCATGCAAAGCTGAATGGTGTTTTAGCTCCCTTTCAGACTGAAATGTACTTAAGAAATGGCATAACAAATGATACACTGTATATGAAATATGTTTAATACGATAATTTAGAGTCATTTGTATCCATAATTGTGTGATTATTTTTTCTCCCCAGAATCAATTATTGAGTTCAAGAATAGCTTCAACGCTACTTGATCTCTTCTTATCTACCCAGTGCATACTGTTAACTTCAATAAACCAATAAAAGAAAGCATGGCTTGAACTAAAATTCCACTGACATCTTGGTGTTTAAATAACTTCTTTTGTCACCCCCCCAACAATTTTTCTTATCAGAGAAAGCCATGTTTAGCAACATACAAGAGCAGAAAAACTGAGAGTCAGTCAGTAATTGCTGTAGGCAACCACAATGTAGGCATCACATTTAGCAACATATCAGTTGAAATAGAAAACTGGACATTGCTCAAAATATTGAGAAT